AGATTTTACTCCCTGTTTGGCCTGAAGAATCCAAAAAAATTCAGACTAGCAAGGAAAGGATCTGACTCGCTGAGGTTTTATTAATTTACTGAGTCTTACAAAAGTAATCATAAGCCTTGAACTTTTTTATTTTGTCATAGTACGGCCATACACTTTTAGTGCATTCTATTGGACATTTGTGTGGTACGCCAGGATACAGTGTAATGTATAAATGTGGCGTCCATTAATGAAATCTATTGCAACATATCTAGGAAGGAGCCTGCTAGCATGTAATTTTGTGTCATTGTTAATGCAGCTGGCCTAAGAACATTAGTGAACAAACAGAATCATAAAGACCAAGGAACACAGCAGAAAGGTCAGGAAAAAAGCTGAAGAGAATTTCTTCCTGAAAGTTCTCCTAGTTTTATAACCTATTGTTGTAGGTTATTAAACAATGTCCTATTTCAAGGAGAACCATTCAATCCGTTTTGTGAAAAGGAAAAGCTGCAAACCAAGACATGGGCATCCACCTACACACAACATCCTGGGCTGGCAGAGCTTTATCTAGTGAAGTAGAGAAGAGGTCCATGGTAACTTTGGTGGAGCTGCAGGGATCCACTGGACATGAGGATGACCGTAATTTCCAGACTAGAAGTCGGTATTTTTTTCTCACACTTTGAACACCACATGGTTTTTTACCAAGGGGTTTTGAAAGGCTAGTCTGCTACTTGATGACAAGTACAATGAATTTGCCTTGAGATGAAAGTGGCATTGAGAACGACAATGAAAGAGAGACTTAGGAAATGTGTGTGAGCCTGTTTAATTCCAACATCGAAGAAGACGACTTAAATAAAAGCTAAAAAATAGCGAGCACTGACTTTTCCATTTTTTTACAACAATCATGTTACAGGCAAGGTTAAGAAAATTATTTACGAAATGCTACCAATATGCATTTCATGTTACTGTACGTACAGCCGATAGATATGTGCTGCCTATAGATAAACGGTTTCTTCTTTTCAAAGTTGGATGCATTAGGTTTAGTATTTGTTTTATGTTCAATTACACATTAGCTACTTGACAGCTACGGCCAGCACCCTTAGCAAGTCGTGGCAGTGAATCACAGCAGATGTATGAAAAGCTTTAGCATAAATTCAGCTTTTGTACAACAGCTTCATTTTTCATGTATTATTTTTTTGTGTAATTCTGTAATATTACTGGATATTTATTAAGAAGGAATATCCTGTGTCTGGACTCCTTGAGCATCGCCTGCTTCTGTTTGATTTTTTTTCTCCTTTGTATTACAAACCATACACCTGTTTGCTGGCTTTTGAAAAAGTACTAAAAGCCTAAAACTGAAACAAATCTGAAGCTAATATAAAGTAAAAATTGACAAGGCGCCTATGTGGAGGTTAAAATAAAATATATGTACATAAATGAACAGGATGTGACTTCTTTCAAAGCCCACGTGTTTCCTAAATGTTCCCTTCACTGACATTTACAATAGTAATAATATAAATATAAATTTTTCAAAAAAAGAACAATTTTTAAAATATTATTTAGAGCCACACAAAAAAGGCATAAACACTTGTTGACCCTAATAATTAATATTTTGCCATTATGGAAAAGATGGAGTGCAAAGCTTGGAGTCTCAGTGCGTGTTTTCACCTCCCACCTACTGTGTACCAGCCTCACATGTGGGCGATCACTGCTCACTATGGAGACAATTATCTCAGCTATAAATCATCCTGTTACTGGAAGATGGCTACATTCACATTAAGACGTGCATCATGGAAAAATTGCCGGCAGCTCATTTGCAGATTTCTGTTTTTTTTTACTATGTATAAAAGTGTTCTGAATGATAAATACTTTTCTGACTGTAGGGATTGTGTTGAGGCGTGTTTCTGATCGCTTCCAGTGTTGTTCTGCGAGACTGCAGTTTATTTATAAGGTTCCTTCAGAGCCATTTCCCAGTAAAGTAAGTTTTTATGTTTTTTAATCAGCCAGATTATTTACCGTTTTTCTTTACTGTCAGTTGGAACTGCAGAAGATTTTATCTGTAGATTTATTTATTTTTTTTTTTTGAAGAAGTGACTGATTTTGATTTTAAAGGAGCTCCAGAATCTTCAAATTTTACACAGGTACGGCTATGTTGTTCTGTAAAGTGCATTTTAAATGTATTAATCCAGAACATCATGAATTATTAAATCAAATATTAAACACTCTTCAGGATCATAGACTTTTCAGTACAGTTGACACAGCAACATTTTGATTGCTTACAGATCAAACATTGCTTCAATCTATAGCTATTATGGGAAACCGTGTGCGTTTCAGCATAATGACAATTTATAGAAAATTCAAACTACATCAGAGGTTGACAACTACCACAGAAATGTGACACTTTTTAATTTAGTTTAGATTTTCCAACTGTTGCTTTTATTCAGTTTTTTTGTGTTTTTAAAGCAGACTAAAGACACATCTATTCATCTGTTTGGCTTTTAAATGAAGTAGTTTCTAGTTATTAACAATTATGGCAAAGATGTCATCAGTTTAACTGCACTGCTATTTGTCTTTATTTTAGATTTAAATGTTTGCTCCAGTCCTCCACTTAAAGTTGAAATAATTTTATTTTTATGCACATTCCTTACTTTGTCACAGTTACATTTTGTGATTTGTTAGAGAAAGACTAAAGTTTAAATAAAAATATGTGTTAGCTTTCAAGAATAAATGACTGTCACTTTCATTTAATGAGAATTGGCAAAAAATATTTCACAGGAAAAAATATTTTATCCCATCTTTATCTACAACAAGGTACTGAGCAATCAATCAATTTTAAAATTCATTTATTGGGGGGCCGTTCATCTTTGATAGAGGTTTCTGTGTTTTTGCATTTATAATTTTGTCATATTATTCTTATATAATTTGTTTTCATTAATACCTTTTAAAAGATTTACAGCATCTTCAGTAAACTGCACTATTACCTCGTTTCAGTTCCTCCTTCTTTGAAACTGATTTATTTTTCAAGTTTTCTCAAATTAGTTTTTTTTTTTTTTTTTAACGACTGTAAAGCTCTGTGTGCTTCGGATGGATGAAGATGGATGAATGGTTGGATGATTCAGATAATCTAAAGTCGCCCCATATACCTGAAGGAACTAGATCAAAGTGTCCTTGGGCCAATTGATCTCAGGAAGTAAACAACACAGTGTGCTTTATGTGTTGCACTACTATGTGCAGCATTGAAACTCAAGGTTTAAACGGTAAGTGACAATGACATGGTGGCTTTTGGTCTGAAACTACAGTCTCTGCACAAGGTGAAAGATAAAACTGCGGTTGCAAATATAAATAGAAGTGACAAACAAAGCTACATCTTATGACCAGGTGTAAAGGGCCACAGCATGCACTTGCAATAGTGTGTTGAAACAACTTTTGTGGGAACTAATGAATCATATTGTCAACTTTTTCCCAATGACAAATGTTTTCTTAAGTTAGATAAATGATGACTTGTGTGGAGCTACAAGAAGCAGAAATCCCTGCTGTTGAATCTTAACAGTAACTACTCATATTAACTAATTTATAGACCTTTTGGAGGTCACCACATGTTTTTAAGTAATTTGTCTCAGCATAAGCAGTATGATTCCTTCTATTTCCTAAATATCACAAAATGTGTCCCTCAAGACTCTGTTCTAGTGCCTGTGCTTTTTTACAATTTATGTTAATACTATGACTCAAGATTTTACTGATGCATCTCTACATCTCTACGCTTAGAACAAAGGTGTTGATTGTCAATCAGACACTGTTGCCCTGATGTGGTTTTTAAATAATTCCATCTTGTTAGTTCCACTGAATCACTGAACAAAACAAAGACATTTTATTTTAAAACCAAAAGAAAATACATTCACTTCTGCCTAAGATTGTGCCAAGCTAATTAAGTTTGCATCTTGTTATATTTATTTTGTATATTTAATATAAAAACATATTTAAATATTTTAAATAATGTCTTGAATTTCTTTGAAAAAAAAACTATAAAGTTTGTTCTAATTTAACAATAAGTTGATTTGAAATGGGATTTCAAATCAAGATTATCCATAATATTTCACCAGGGATTATAAGTTATGCCTTGCTAGTATTGGGTCCAGCCTTCTTTTGCTTTGTGCTTTGTCTTAGAAGATTTTGGTCCAAACTGACATGATGGCATCATGCTGGAATTTTATTTAGCCTGCACCTCAATATCGCAAACCTCTCTTATCACCACATCCCAAAGGTTGTTCTATTGGAATGATATTTAGCGTGAAGGCCTCAAGTGAAGTTAGAGAACCAAAAGTGTACAATGAAAATCCCTCACATCATTTCTTAACCATATCTAAATATTCTGACTTGATTACAAGTCAGAATGGATCCACTCTTTTATGCTATTTCTCCCCGATTCTGATCCAACCATCTTACTATTGCCGCTGAAATAGAGGCTTCTTACACTAGACAATGTTTTGTCAGTCCAAATCTGGTGAGCTCGTTGGACTTGTGGCTTCTATGGAGTGCCTCTCAGCATGCCAATGAATAGTTCATTAAGACATGGTGCTCAACATACCTTAGATGTAACAAGTGGTTATTTGAGCTTCTGTTGCCTTTCTAACAACATTGTTATCCTCAAAGCTGCTAATCACCAGATGTTTTCTCTTTTTGGGGGGGACAACTCTCAGCAAACCTGAGAGATGAGGTCAACGAGTGAAAATCTCAGGAGATCAACATTTTCTGAAGCAGATCAGCGGAAATACCAATGTGGATAGATGCAGCATTAAGATGCTAAAAGTATTTTACAATACCACCTTTTAATTTCAGGAATTATTAACTTAATGCTTCAACTCGGCCATTTTCAGGATTTAGTTTCTATAATCTGAATCTGCTCCCAACATGTTTATTTATTTATTTATTTTTCTATATTTAGCTTAGTATGCATTTTTTGTTTTCTTATTCAGAGTAAGTCTGGTAACTTATTTTGATGATCTCTGTTTTTCTGTGTCTTCCAGGATTCTCTGCTTCCCCAGAGTCTTCCTCTACTCTGCTGCCACTGAAGCCATGGACTAGATCAGCGTTTGATCCTGGCGGTCCTGTGGTCATCAGATGGCTTCTCACCAACTGTCAGCAAAGACTCTGGATGTAAGTTTAGAGGCGAACTAAGACAAGAGGGCTCTTATTCGCTTCGTTCACTTTCGCATTCAGCTGTTGTGTGACTCACGTTAAATCGACATCCTGTTATTGTTTTTTTCTTCATTATGAAATTATGCATATGCATATGCATTTACTTTTAACTGCTTTTGAGTTTTGAGTTTCAGTTCTGAGAGTTTGTGTTTGTTCCAGGCATTTCTTCCTTCAAACTGATTTCCATAGTTTCCACTGCCTCGGCTTTCGCATTTATTTTATATGGGCTGGATGTAATATACCAGCACAGAAAAGTGATTGTTTCCATCAGGGTTCATGGTTGTCTACTGAGTGTCTCTCTTGTCCACAAAGTGGTATTCCACTGGATTTAAGCATAGATATGTTCATACACACAAATGTAATACAATTTATCATGAAAATGTTAAAAGAAATGCATAAGATAAAATTAAATAAAAGTAGTTGTATTAAAATACTTTTTGCTGTTTACCCCAAAACCTAAATAACAAATTGTTCACTTTTGAATTTATCCTAGTATTTTATCGTTGAAACCGAGCAGACTGTAACAATATAGTTACTCGATATTGTGTCATTTTCACATCATCATGCATGCATAATCATTCACTAACACCAGCAGCTGTTAAATCCAGTACTTCCTGTCTGTAAGGCTGTGATGTGGAAATAGTTTAATTATCTTGTTCTGTTTTCTCTTAAGAGTGGAGCTTTTAGTTGAATTCTGTCAGTTTTTGTTTTTGTTGCTGCTGTAATGCCACTCCATATTTGTAAGTCTGATTCATTATAGCTGACAAACTTGCTAAAATGTCACTTTGACTAAGAGGAAGCTGGACAGCACATTTCTGTGGCCCACATTGTTTTACGTCAGGTGTGAGACCACGCTTTTCGGTGTTTCTGAGTCATAATTAACTCCCACATGGAAAAGCAATTTGAACATCGCTGCTTATAGGTTGGGGGAAAGTGAGGTCATGGTTTATAATAATCCACTATTTTAGTTTCTGCTCAGCACTACAAGGAACGAGGTGTTTAGTGCTACAAAGCAATATTCTCTCTTAAAGGTTAGCTTACCGTTCACCCATTAGGTTTTTTTATGCAGTAGTGAAATATTTTAGTCCCCCAAAGAAAGAAAACACCTCCTGAGTTGTGCTTAGGTCTGATGGAGGTTCCTGTTGACATGGTTTTCTCTTTAAGGACACTGACGAAATTGACATTTTAAATGTCGGTTTTCATAATTATATTGTTTTACAGCAAAGACCTTCGACATTTAACTGATTACATTCAAATCTCAGACATATTATATGAATAACAGTTTGTTAATAAACATTGCCTTCCAAAAAGATTATTATGGCGGGAAAAAAAAAAAAAAAATTACAAAAAAAAAAAAAAAAAAAAAAAGAGAGAAGTATTGTATTAGTATTACTCAGATTTATCTTATCATGATCTGTTTAATTATGGTCAAACGGATCAACATACATTTTCTTCACATTATGTTTTTTTTTTTTTTTTTTTTTGTTCTAAACTCATAATTGTCCAGTTTTTTTGTTTTTTTGTTTGTTTGTTTTTGTTGTGTTTCTGTTGTTCACCATCCTGCTGACATGGTTGTGCACTAATAACCCCTCAGCCTTCAGGCTGCCGGTCTGCACACAAAGGCCTGGTGTCACAGTCTCATGCCTGTGGGTGTTTGTTTTTTTTTCTGCTGGTGCTCTGAGATCAGTTCCTTTGTCACCCACCCAGCCTCTGCTGGAATGAAAGTTATGCATGAGCTCAGTTATTCCCCAAACCGCGGGAGTGAATGCATCTGCATGTTAACTGTTATTTATGACCCAATAGTGTCTCGCTTGTTGATCATTAGATTCACAGTGCTGTTTAGTTTCAAATATGCTCTCCAGCTAGAAACTAAATAGCACCGCGCTTAATCATCCAGTTAGAGAAACGGGCACCAGGCGTCCTGACTTTCGGTCAAAATAAAGTTTTGTTTCTGACTCACACCTAAAGATTTCCTGCTAATACTTTGTTCTAGGCTACATATCTCTAGAGTTCCTACAGAATCTTGAAAAATGTGGAAAAAATATGGAATTTGATTGGGACATTTTCCTTGTTCCATGCAAAATTATAAAATGAGTTTGGAAAAAAACTTCTGATCTGTATCTACGGGATAAAAATCAGTACTTCCGTAGATCTTGGTTTCCAACATAATAATTTAAATTTTTATCTAACACAGTGATGCTTAAAAAAATGTATGAAAAAGTAAGCACTGCTCAACTTGATAACCGATACGCCTCTTTGTGGCAAAGTCCTGCTTTGTCCCACTAGACAGCTCAATCTTAGATGCTGTTTTAGAAATATTTCATAAAATTAAAGTTTTGTCTGATTAGTCCAAAATCTATTGCCTTTTTTGTCCAGTCTCTTTCCTATTGTTGAATCATGACCACTGACCCTGACTGGGGCTAGTGTACCTTAAATGCAGTTCTTTAGATGTTGTTCTGGCCTTCTGGGTTCTTTTGTGGGATCTGGCTATGTCTTCGATGTGCTTTTGGAGTAATTTTGGGAGCTCCAGCACCGTTCTGTGTTTTCTGTGGATAGCTACTTTCAACATGGTTCAGTGAGAGTGACTTTCTAAACTTTTGCCGTCTGATTGACTGTTTCTCATCTGTTCTTGAATTTCTTTTTATTCAGGTGTGATGTGCCACCTTTGCTGATCTTTCACCTGCCTGTGCCTTGTCAGATATGTCATATTTAAGTGATTTCTTTCATTATAAAACCCCATAAGTCAAATGTTGGGCCCACAAATGTTTGTAATGTCAGGAGAAAAACAAAGAAAGAACCTAGAAACTATTGTCATAAAATACTGGGATTTTGAAAATGGATATACGGTACAAACCCTGTGTTGTGGTTACGGACAGAGGAGGAAAGCCTTTGGAAGTGGGCAGGTGTGTCCCGGAAACATAAGCACTGGCTGTTGCTGATATCTCTGATGCTGGGTATTATGTTATGACTCCTGGCAGGAGCACTCCATGAAGCATTACGCCTCGGTACAAACGGGCCCGAGCCAGGACTGAAATAAGAGACCAGGCAATCTCGCTCGTATTTTCTCACAGGGACTCGCCAGGGATGAGATCTTTGAGGTGTGGCTAAACAGTTTACTGTAAAGTGGCGTCCTCGTTGCTTCTAATGTTTCCTTCTCTGCTTTGTTTGCTCCCAGATGAGAACGTGAAGGCTGGCGTCCACCAAGGCCACCGCTGCACCGTGGGCAGCACACACACATGATCACATGACTCTGGACATGGACGCGGTCCTGTCAGACTTTGTTCGGTCCACGGGGGCAGAACCGGGTCTGGCAAGAGACCTGCTGGAAGGTAAGATTTTCTGTTCGAAGGGGCGTGGAGGTGGGGGCAAATGAGACGGGAATGAGAAGGAAGGAAGATGACAAAATCAAAGGAACCTGAAACAGGAGGCAGGTTTGCTGATTTAGAGGCAGGACTGACGGGCTTACGAGTGCAACTCCCCAAGAGAAGCTTTGTGTCCATTCGCTGGCACTCACTGAGCAGCAGAGGGCTGCAGGCGCATGTGTGGTTCTGATAAAAGAAACAACAGAGAGGTGGATGAATGTCAGCCGGGTTAGGTTCAATATTAAACTTTTACATTTAAATTTACATTGAGAAAAATGTACATACATCTGGGATACATCTTCATCTGTGTTCACAAAATGTGTCCCTGTTTTTCCAGCCTCTTGCATCTCTCTCTCTCTCTGTCTCTCTCTTTCTCTTTCTCTGTCTCTCTCTCTCTGTCTCTCTCTCTCTCTGTCTCTCTCTCTCTCTCTCTGTCTCTCTCTCTCTCTTTCTCTCTCTCTCTCTCTCTCTCTCTCTCTCTCTCTCTGTCTCTCTCTTTCTCTTTCTCTATCTCTCTCTCTCTCTCTCTCTCTCTCTCTCTCTCTCTCTTTCTCTTTCTCTGTCTCTCTCTCTCCTTGCTTTGCCCCAAAACCTGCTCTGGTGCGAAGCCTCAACGGGATATGTGTGACACGAGCAGACATCAAACAAGACAGTGCACTCAGACGACGCGGACTCAAGCCCCGATTGTCTCGCCTTGGTTTATTTTTTGCCCCCTGACATTAGCTTAGCCTTTAGGATGTGCATTGACACAGACCTGCGTTGATAGACCAGCTGCTCTGTTGCACTCCGGTCCCAGCCAGGAGGAAGACGAGGCAGTTGTGCTACATGTGCTGCTCTCTACAGGCTGTTTTGGGTATTGAACTGCCTTTTAATTGGCTCTGACTTTCATTTTTCTTGTCGCATTTTAGAGACTGTTGTACGAGGAATACTTTTTTTGTTTTACCTCAGTTTGCTAACTATTTACAAGTAAAGCACTAAAAGGAGCTCTATTGTTTCAGACCATAATCATATATTTTATAGCTTATATGTATTTTATTTTTTCTGTATTTTTTTCCCAATATTTGTAGTAGTAAAAGAAACAATTAAATGAAATGCATAGCATTATTCTAGCCACATTAATCAATATATGTTAGTATTACATTACGTGATTATCATGTTAGACATTTTTTTTTAAATGTATAGACAACATTTAACTAAGTAGTTTTTAAGTGCTTATTTTCTAGAATGGTGAAGTTTTTTTATTTTTTTTAATTTTTTTCTTTACCAGTTTGCTTTTTCTAGAGAACAAGGAGTCAAACAGATTGCTGTTGTTTGCTCCGGTTGCCAGTTTGCAATCTGCTTCCTAACAGACTTGCTGCTTGTCAGCTGCAGATTTATTTCTGTTGTTTCCTTTAATTAGAACAATAGGAGGTACATTGGAGTCTCCCCACCGTTTCCGCTTGTGCTTTTTTGGAAATTCTTTCCAAATATCTGAACTTGTCTTGGTCTGGGAAAATTGTGAAGGTTTTTCTTTCAGCTACCTGACGGCAGTGTGTAGCAACAGACGGGGAAGGAGCACACCTGTGCTTTATACCGGCATTCTGTAAGACAGATTTTAAAATGAATGAAGGAACCGCAGAATTTTGAAGCTGTACATTTTTAAACTCTTGGTATAATCGATCCATGCTTTGCCTCTTGTATCAGAATCTGGACTTATGCATCTGAAGTGTCTCTAATGGATATTGATTATGTATTTTCATGCTTCAGAAGAGTGTGTCTGTGCTAAGTATCAATCAGGATCCTGAAAGAAAGCTTTTCACTTAAGCGTTTAAAGACGATGCATTAAGGTGCCGAATGTTGCTGAGAGGCTGAACTGTCGGCTGTAGGCCTGTTTCTCTGAAGCTCATGCTGCTGAAATCCATTCCGTGAAATGCGTTTTGCATTGACGAATGCAAAAGCAGCTGCTTAAGCGGGACATGCTTTCATATTCATGTTCAGACTCACAGACAGACATCCTGTCTGGAAGGCCGAGGTCTTCCTCCTCGGCTCTCTCCATCACGCCGAGGTCATTAGTAGATCGACTTTCACAAACACACTCAGGTTACAGTGAATGTAGACGTAGGCATTTGCGTGCTTTTCTTTTTGATATTATTATTTTTTTGGATGATTCCTGTGGCGGTGGTAGAAGTCAGACAGTAGTGTATGAGAAACCGACTTGCTTGTCTTAAACCTTGAGGGGATTTCTGTTAAAGAGACAGAACTCGGAGGAGACAGCCAGGGGTGTCTCTTTGTGCATGTCAGGATATTGCTGTCACCATATTGAAGGTCCTGTCTCCCTCTCCAACTTTATTTTCGTGCCAACACCCAGCCTCGCTATGATTCAGCATGTTTTCCTCTGATAAAAGCACTGCAACATCTTCTCTTGTGGAGAAGCTATAAATCTGTGAAGCTATGTGGACCGATGTGTTTTTTTAAAATTATTATTATGTTAGAGATGCTATGTTCTTCAATTATTTAAAAGTCAAAAGTGAAAAAAAAGCATACCAAGTTGTTTAAATTTTTCAGTGAAATAGAGTTATCTAATTCATCTCCAACTGTAAGCTGTTTACTGTAAACTTTTAGTGTGTGTGCGGTGTCGTCTTGCACACTATGACATCTGCTTACATGCATGGGACTGTAATGAAATCGAAGCAGAAAACTTAATGGAGGTTTATTTTTTTCCTGAAAAAAATAAACTCTGACTTCCATTTTTTTTTTTCCTTCAGGTAAAAACTGGGACCTCAGTGCTGCTCTGAACGACTACGAGGAGCTCAGGCAGGTCCACACTGCCAACCTGCCGCAGGTCTTCAACGAGGGCCGCTACTACAAACAGCCAGAGACACGTGAAACACCCAGCCATGTCAGCAAGATCGACAGGCCGTGTGCACAGAAGCAGGAGGACAATGCACAAGGTAGTAAAGCCAGTTCAGCATCAGCAGTGGCGGCGTTTTTTTTTTTGTTTGTTTGTTTTTGTTCCCATGAACCTCGTCTTACGTCTTATCTGCACCACCTTGCTTGTGTTCGCCTCTAGAGAAGCGTCTGTCCCGTGGAATCTCCCACGCCAGCTCTGCTATCGTCTCCTTGGCACGGCTGCAGGTGGCGAACGAGTGCACCAGCGAGCAGTTCCCTCTTGAGATGCCCATTTACACATTCCAGCTACCCGATCTCAGCGTCTACAGCGAGGACTTTAGGAGTTTCATAGAGAGGGATCTAATAGAGCAGTCCACCATGATGGCTCTGGAACAGGCGGGTGAGTCCGATGAGGATATAGCACAGAACATTTTGTCATGTTAAAACCACAAACCTCGGTGTATTTTTGCTAGAATTGTATGTGATTGACCAACACAAAGTTGTGCATCATTGTGATGTTGAAAGAAATTCAATTTTACGTTTACAACCCAGTGCCACTGCTTACCTTCAGAAGTGAGCAAACAGGCATCAAAGACCCCAGCAGACAGGTGAAGGAAAAAAGGGGTTTGTTCGCAAAACTTTACCCCAAATGTTCAATCAGTCATTTAAATATTGAAAGACTGTGGCAATTGCAAATCTACACAGCGTTAATCAGAGAAGCTGCTAAGCGGCCCACATTGACCTGCAGCATTATGGGTGGAAGAATCTCTGCGCAGCTGCTTGTAAATGGCTATAAATACATGACAACCTCAAAGAAAGTCTGTTAGATTCTAGAGATGATTTGAAACTAGGGCAGAGGTTCACTTTCTAGCAGTGGTTAGTTCAACACATACTCCTGTGCTAGAATGGTCCAGTCAAAGTTCAGGCCTTGATAGAATTGTGTCTCTGTTCCGACATTTAAAAAAATAGATCTCCACAAGACATTGACTGAAATTGAGCTATTTTGCAAAAAAAATAAAAAAAAGGGATTCATTTTAGTCTTTTTGATTCTTCACTTGTTTAAAGTAAACTGAAGCCAAACAGAGTAGTTGCAATAAAAAATTCCATTAAGTCTGAAATACAGACAGATGCACAAGATGAGACTGACCCAGTGAGACAGAACAGATCAGAGCAGCAGCATCAGGGAGGGAGGATGACAACAGCTAATCCGAAGGCTCCCGCATCCCAGAGGGTTCATATCCCATCTGACACTTTCAACTGAAGGAGAGAAACCTGCTCAAAAGTTTTAATCTTGCAGAGAACCCTTCTCACTCTGATGTTATAATAAACAAGCAGAAAATGTGAATATTTTACCAATAAGGCATAAAGAAAGCATCTTAAAACGGCGTGTCAAATCCTTTTTGCTTGCTGAAAAATAATAGGAAATAATTTTTCAGTCAGTAAAATTGTTTTTTTTTTGTTGTTTTTTTTTTCTTTTTGCAAATTATGCAAAAGTTACTGTAAAATGCACCGATATGCATCTTTCTGTATTTCCTAGCAGGTAGAATTGCCCATATGCACTGCATGCAGAGCACGCCATGAGGCCAGCATCATAAAACAACAGGAGGTTACAGTAGCTCAGAAATAAAGAACTGCAAGTTGCAGAAATAAAAAAAGGAAAGTCTGCAGTTTAATTGTGACTACAGTGAAGGCTAAATCATTCAGAGGCTCCTCTGTGTTTACTGTTGTTAAATAAATGATGGAGCCAGATCGGCCAGGCTCAGAGCAGTGCGGTCCGCCTGCAGTCAGTCTATGTGTCGTGCTCAGGGCTCTTCTTCATTCTCACTTCTTTCTTTTTTTTTTTTTTTTTTTTTTTAGAAAAGGTAGAGAAGTGATTTCAAAGTAGCTTCTGGGGGACTGCAGTGGTTGTATGAAAAAAAAAAGAAAGTGAATCATATACAGGTTAAAAAGGAACGTAACCAACTGATGCATGTGCAGAGTGCAATGTGTGAAACAACGTTCTATTTTTTTTTTTTTTTCTCTATTTCACAATTGGACAATTGGTATTAAGATGCATGTACTCAACTAAGTGAAATTTAATAATTTGAAGATTTCCAGAGTTCAGATTCTTTATTCTAAACTACACTCTCTCTCCTAAACCACCTAGAACGTCAGTTTTGCAATCTTCAACCTGTAGGAAGAACATTGTAACATCGATCTGCAATCAAGGATCCTCATATATACATAACAGAACAACTGATTGTGAAGTAGAGCCGTCGTGGTTCCGCAAAGCTCAGTGGCGCTCTGCGTTGAATACCGACACTCATGATACTGCGACCTGCAGTGTGTATTTTTACACTTGTGTAGCATGTCTGCTGGCTGCAGTGCTTGTCATCAAAGGCGACTTTCTGAGCGTTCTTGTCTTTTCAGGACGTCTGAACTGGTGGTCCACCATGTGCACCAGTTGTAAGAAGCTTCTTCCTCTGGCCACCACAGGGGATGGTAACTGCCTCCTCCATGCTGCCTCTTTGGGTGAGTGACCCCTAAAAACCTAAATGTCTGCTGTGCAATTTGGTGCAAAAACAGTTGTTGTTTTTTTTACTTAGACCTATTCTGCCCTGAACCTTCTGGTTTATACTGATCTCCAGTTAGGTTTCCTTTCTATTATAAAGTGCAAACCTTGGCATTTATGTAAAATGCATTAACCTCTATAGCATGTTAACTGGGTAAATTCCAGCTTTACACATGGAATACTTGTTGTTGTTTGCAAGCGCGACTTTTTAACACATTTCTGCAGCTTCAGTGAGGTGATGGATTAACTACCACAGGAACAGCAGAGTCCAGAATGCTGCAAAAAAAAAAAAAAAAAAAAAAAAAAAAATAAAATTTCAGCACATCATTGATCCCAGATGATTTAACT